ACCAAACGGAGGAGCAGCCTTGATTACGCCGCAGCCGTAGGTAGTCATGTAAAGAAAAGTTTGAATCAGAGCAGCAAATTTACGTTTACTTTGTTCCAGGAAGTTGAAAGTACCTTTAGTTTCCATTATATCTGGTTTACTCTCTAATTAATTACTAACGTGGCCTCTGTATAGCAGATTGATTTACTTTGCAACCAGCTTGGGATGCAACCATCCCAAGCTACGGCTCGCTGATCGGCAGCGAACATGTTCAGTAGCGAACCGTTCGGTGAACGAACATGTTCGGTAACAAACCGTTTGGTGACCAAACATGTTCGGTTGCGAACCGTTCGGTCACCGAACTATCGGTTTGGTGCATGCCTAGTCAGAAATAAACGTGGTTTACAGCGTCTTCGTATAGCTTGTGAACGTGCCAAATGTACACTTCACCTAGCAGTCAAGCATCAGTTGAAATTGATTCTTTCAATGAAGGAATTGATTTTAATTTAATTGTGACCCGTGTCAGATTTGGAGAATTATGTGCTGATCTATTTGATTCAATACTGTAACCACTTGAGAAAGCGTTAAAGGATGCAGATATTTCAAAAAGAATATTGCAATGAAGTTTTACTTGGTAAGTAGTAGTTTAAAATTGAGTTTCGCTAAAGAGTTAAAGATCAAGGCAAAAAGAAAATACTGTCTAGTTTCTGAAAGTTTCGAAATTCGACAACAAGAATGTCTGCTCCATGTTCCTTTTTCTTTTTCTCTCGCTGTTTCTAGTTGGCGGTTCAACACGTATTCCAAAAGTACAAAAAAAAATTTTCTTTTAATTACTCGACAAAGTTTTACTTCGATTGAAAACCGTTTACTCTTTCCCTTGCTTTATCTACTGCAGTTCCTCTAACTAATGTTTGAATTTTCTTTTATTTCCTATTACTCATTTAGGGTATTGAAACAGCTGGCGGTGTCATGACAGCATTAATTAAACGTAATGAAAAAATTCCAGCATTCACAACCTATTTTGATTAACAGGAAAGTGTAGAAGTTAGTGGATATGAAGGTGAAACTTTAATGACAAACAATAGTCGTAAACTAGAAACATTTGAACTGACTCGAATTCAACTAGTATGTGTGTGTGTTTTCTTCTGTTTACTGCTTGAAAAAGGATGACATATGAAAAAGTACGAAGTTTTGCCAGGCTCAGAGATACCGACTCATCTATAAATAAAAAATCTTAGAATTAATTGTATATTAACTTAGCATAAAATTTGGAATAGGGAAATTCAGAAAATTTTTTTTTTATATCGCTGTTTTTAAGCGCGATTACTCTGGCGCCACTTTAAACGCAAGTTCGCGCCTAAACACTGATATTCTCTTTGTTCATTCTGTGTGATTTATTTAAATCTACAAACAAATAGTTTCGAGCGGTAAATATACTATTTCAAAGCTGAAAAGTATCATACGAATGGGATAGGATTTAACTAGTTCTATACGCTAACCAATAGAAATTCAATATGGCCTACATGCTTAAAATTTAGCAAAGAGCCATTTGAATTCTTTTCCTCATATCAAAAATAAGGCGAAAGGGTGCATAACTATTCGAAAAGTATCCCTAATTACAATTTTCTTGCCAGTTACTGCAGAAAAGAACTTGAGCGCGGAAAGTAAACATGATTTTGGTGGCAAATACCTCTAATTAGTTTTGTATCCACTTGAAGTGTTTTTAGTAAGATTTTTTCGCACAGTTACTCTGGCATTGTATTTTTCTAGCCGCAGTGTGTTGATACACTGTTTTTGTTCCAGAAAATGTACAGATTCCAAGAAAAGAGCTATTATATAGCACTTAAAGAGAAAAATATCTGTTTTGCGTGTGGATCTTCCTTGCATTTAAAGGAGACTTAGTCGCAGGTTCAAGTGTCAAATATTTGTGCTCGAAACAGAGTATGAATTTGTGCTTTGAAGCTAGACACATTGCTTTGAGAACCAGAGCAGAGTTCTTAAAATGTACTTTCCTTTGATTACACGAATAATGAAAAATGATACATCATACTAGAAATCGAAGTCAGGACGTCAGTCGAAACAGACATTTAGTCGAAAACCGATAGTGCACTTTTTTTTACATTCAAACTACACTAAAAAAAATGGTGATTTTGAGTTTTTCAAAGTACTGAAAAATGAATGGAATTTTGTTCTGAAAGAACTGGAAATTTGTTCTTCAGTTTTTGTAAAACGAATGTTTATCGTTTTTTGAAAGTTGAGGAACACCTTTTTCTAGAAGTTATGGAAAATATACTTCGATAAACGGACTATTTATAGCCATAAAAATTATCTAGTAACAAGGATAGTGAGAAGATTTTGCATCAAACTAATGGGTCGATCAGTCTGAAGAGGAGTCCATAACAGTCGATAGCTTTAAGATAGAAAAACCTGAAGAGCGATGATTAGTTTGACAAGAAGACTTTTATTTATTTTCAACACAGTTTTAAGCGTACCTTTATTTCTTATTCAGTTTTTCGATATATATCAAATGTATCTTCTAAAAACGTTTATCTCTATAGTGACAGTCATCAAGGAAAAATTAGACACAAATTGAAAATTAACTTATGAAGTATCGTAAGTAAGTAACTAATGGGAGTCATTTTGATCTCTGCTTTTTTGTATTTGAGTACTGCCTTTTCATGACCTTCAGAACACGAAAGAAGTGGAAGACTTTCTATTTAACCGGTTTTTCATGATAGTGCTGAGACTTCTACGTGTTATTAGCATTTTTTACTCACCAGAAAGCCTGGATATTGGATTTAGTCTCATGAGAGCCCTCACTAGATGCGCAACTTCATTTCAAATCTGAGTCAAAGTTGTTAAAGCAAAAGCACACGTTAAAAAGAAATTGTTGACAAATGTGCAGTTTCATCTGACAGCCAGTACCTGGCTGAGAGTAAATGCGTTAAGTAATAATTGAGATAATAAGGGGAATTTTTCGGAGAATGCTGTAAAGTAAAATCTTTTTTTAAAGTTTCTTTTTAATTGTATTCACTAATGGTGTAACGCCATCGCTGTTGATGGTATGTCCCAAATAATTTATTGTTGGACGAAATAATACGCATTTAATGTAAAATTTGCCTTACTATTTGCCACACTGACAACATATCATTTAATTGTTCCAAATGTTGTTGAAATACCTTAGAAAAAGTAATGATATCGTCTAGATAAACTAAACAATGGTTCCACCTCGTTTTCTATGCGATAACATAATACAATTATGACGTTGTAAATGTGTTAAAATTTATATTGTTACATATTTATTGTTAAGTTTCAAATTCAAAATTTGAAAACTATTCAGGCCACTTTCTGCACTTCTAAATACATTGGACACTGAGACCTTACAGGACACCCTAACACTTAGCTTCTTCCTAAACTACTATCAAAATGAATGCAGCCTATGGCACGAATACTTACTCGCCGTAGATCCGACCACCTTCTCTAAAGAGGAGGATGACCTTGAAACTCAATGCCATTTTTGTAAGAAGAAGATGCAAGGAGGGGAAGAATTCAGATTTCTTTTGTAAAATGTCTCATAACACACATTCATTGTGATTTCTTAACATATATGCGAATATTGCTAATAGCGTTTGTGGAAAAACGTTGATAAACGTGAATTATACTTGTACGAAGAACTCAACTAAATTCATTATTTTATTTAATAATACAGAAACTTTCAATCCAGACTAGAGTCATTATCAGCCACATACATTGATGTGACGAACGACGTATATACAGTATATATATATTGTATATGTTAAACAGAAAATGAGTAATCATATCAATGAATCACTCAATACTCTTTTAAACACTGCCAGGGGAAGAATTATAATAGATATCTCACACCCATCCATTGCAGTGTTTAAACCAATAGTCAGAGATATTAATTGAAAAAGCAGAGAGTTCGAAGAACCAATCATTACAATGCGGTATCCTCATGCAACATACAATAAGATTATTTATCAAACGTTAGTATTCAAATGAACAGTTTATCTAAGTAATCTCTGCTCCTTTTCAATATTTTATCTTTTAGTTGTAAGCAAGGGGGAGAAATACCGTAATAGATACCTGTTGTAGTTCTTCCCCTTGCAGTGTTTAAAAATTTGTTCAGTAATTCGTACGGTATCTTCCCAGTTTGCAAGCTAATTGACTTTTTATACATTTGTCTATTTCCCATTTTGCAAGTCAATTAATTTAGAAAAAAATATAGAGTGTTTCATTCTATAAATTATTCAAAAGTAAAATAGGACAATTAAGACATAATATTGAAAAAAAAGCACTCATAACATAATTTTAAACGTCCTTTTCTTCATCAACCTCAAAAATATACTTATATGCTATGCGTCTTACATGATGAAGATAATCTTCGAAGTCTATTTCACCAATAGTTAATGCTGCTGTGGCCACGCACAAATCGAAATTAGCAGCTTTGTCTTCTTTTCGCTGTTTTTTGGATGTCACGCTGCTACCTATTTCTAAGATGCCATGACAGCGAGCATAAACTTCCTCTTTACAAATTTGCTCGATCCACTGATAAATGTTTGGGTGAGTCCGAACACGTCTGCCAAGGAAGACAGAACTTATAAATAATCAGTAAGATTAAAGATTTTGTTTTCGACGGTCACCTTCTACAGGATTATTTGTTTTAGGACGTAAACTAAACACATCATACAAATTTCAAAATACTTGCGTAAAATGATTTTCTAAAATATAAATATATACATAAATTTCTCTCAATGTTTCTTGAAAAGTAACATTACCTTCGATATATGTTTCACAAACGTAATCAAACATCTTTTGTATAGCGGTCATTTCAGCCGGGACTAGATCATGCGCAATGCGCAAACAGTGGACCGATTTAATCGATGGAAACAAGTGGTAATGTAAATAAATTTGTTATTAGCCGACGCATGTCTAAACAGAAGTTGAATACGGTCAATCTTGAGGAAGCAATAGGTGTTGAACTGTAAGAAATACCTGGTTCTTTGTTATAAAGTTTTCTTCCACCTTATTGTTTTGACAATTGTTTCTATAGATTTTGTGTATAATAAAAACAGCAGCCTTTGATTTCTGCATTTAGAAAATGTTCTTTAAAAGCTGAAATTGTTGCTTTTTCAAAATCCATCATGATTGTTTTAGGGTTTAAAACTATGCCTGAAATGTAGTAATTGGTTACTAGAGATAAGACCGAACACAATTTCGGATACAGTTACCTTGAGCAGCAAGAAGTGTACCATGTATCATTTTAGAATACGTTTTATGATTTTACATCGTTTAAAGCTATTGGGAGTGTCGATATATAATCGTTAATTTAAAAGAAATGGGAAATAGATAAATGTATAGAAAGGTAAATTTTATCACGTAAAAATTATCAAGTTACGTGGCATGATTCTAGTCTGAGTTGCTTCTATATTATTAAATAAAACTTAATCTAGTTGAATTCTTCGTATAAATATTATTCACGTTTATACCAATATATCAAGTTCAGTATGTCAATAGAAGATTGATTAAGAATGATGATGTCGTTGTGTTTAATATCACTGACAAATATTTATTCAGTACTACAATAAATAGTTTAAAACAAAAAAGAAAAGAGCACGTCGCCGTGTATAACAAGAAAAATCATTAGAAAGAAAATAAAACGCAGAAGGTATTATATATTCATTCATCCATTTATCACTTTAAAAATTGTATGCCTAGAAAGATGGCTTATAGGATTTGGTAAAACAATGGGAAGCATAATTAGTTGGTTTTCTTCTCTCTGTAAATCAGTATCAAACTTCCAAATGTAGAAATAGTCAGTGAGTCTATCAGCCTTTGTTTCGTCTCTGTAAGGGTTTCGCTGTGTACCTATGATAATGTCACTGAACCTAATATTATACGCAAATGTTTACTCAATTGTATAATGAATAAATAGTTTAAAGCAATAAAAAAAGGCGTATCCTTGTTAGGTGTAAGAAGAAAAAAGATAAGAAAGAATTATACGATAAGAAAGATGTTATATATTCATGTTTATTATTTAAGAACTAAACGTTTAACTTCGATTTTACATCAAAATGGCAAGTAGCAATATTGATTATCCATTTAACACATGGTGTGCATTTGCATGGAGTAGTCTATTATTAATATGGAAAAATATTGTCCTATTAGTCTTACTTGCTTATTTTCGTAGTAAAAGTAAACGTATAAAAATTCCAGAAGATGCACGAATATTTCGAAAAGGTACTCAACCAGTCACAGTAACAACAACAGCTGAATTACAAGAAGAAGATTGGTCAACAGCTGGTCGTATCACACGTGTTTTGGCCAATGAAGTGGAATATGTACCCTATTTCTTAGTTCTTGCATTAGCATTTTGTGTATTTATACCAGATTCAACAACACGTTTAATTGTCTATGGTTGCATATTTGTATTTGCACGTTATTTACATAATATTAGTTACATATTAGGAAACACATACGGTCGATTAATTGGATTTGCGTTATCATTCTTATTACTTGGTGCAATGACGATTGATTTAACACAATATTTAACAAAAGCAGTTGTAGATCGTATATGAGGTTATACTTGACAAAGTAAAACGAAGAATAAAGTATTTAAAATAATACACATCTCGTGATGAAAAAAACCGATCAGATCGACTTTATTTGGTTTTTTAATACAACTCTGTTTTCTTTCATTTATCAATGTGATCGACTGAATGTATTTTAGACATGAACCTCTTTTTATGATTCAGCTTATTGAATGTCTTATACACAACTACACATAACGCCAAGCGCTCAGGGACAGATCAACGACAGGCTGCAGCTTTTCTGTCTGAGGGAACTCGGAAAAGTACTTTTCACATGGTGCATCCAGTCTTAACCAAACTTTTAGAAAACACCGACCAGATAATGAAAGGTTTGCAGGAAAAGTTCCAGCCCAAAACGTTTAATCCTTTGTGATTTAACACAACGACAGTAAGCACTAATTGCTACAAAACGGAGGAGTTGATGCTTCATTCAGTTTTGACAAAAAATTAAATATGCCTAAAACAATTTGTACAGAGTCTTGGGAGACAGAAAATATCATCTGTGAAAGTCAGACCTGTATTAAGGAGTTTCCCAAGGAGAAATAATATTTAATTTTTCAAAATTTTTGTTGAAATCAAGAAGTGTTTTAGCCCTCAGAAGTTCTGCCATACCACAGGAGATGGTTAAAGGAATCCACAAAGTAGAGATGTTTATGTTTTTGAATAACATGTTGTTCTGTTTTCTGCTGTAGACTTCTACTATAGTCTGCTCTCCCTCACTGTGGACCAAGGACGAATCCCCGCTCCTCTCATATAAGCCAGAGCGTGTTCGCTTTCGCGTTTTCTAAGATGGGTTGGACGAAGTCTTACCGTTTAAGAGTTATTCAGAGATCAAGGTTCAAAAAGGACTCTGATGTATTTCCCAAGATCTTTTAATACACCCAAGCTAGAGAGTTTAGGTTTGTTTTATTTTAAACTAGACACCTAACTACCCAAGCAAACATCACCTATGGGAAAAATCCACATACATTTCGTCTATAATCGGGCGATACACGACTAGTTGGCATCTAGATTACTAGTTGGAAAAGGGACTTTTAACTAGATGTGTCTGCAGGTGCATCTAGCAATAGTTAGATTAAAGTTTCAATCTCCACTAATGAAGTTTAAAAAGTTTCAGTTTTTTTTTTAAACAGTTTTCCTTTTATTCACGAAATAATGGTAAAAATAAAAATACAACTACCAGAGAAAAACACTTATTCGGCAATTCGGGATATCCCATTGTATGCCGGATTCTAGATGAACATGCTGGAACAAAATGAGTATATAGAGAAGAGAGATTATACTAGTGCTGATGAAGAGAGGGAGAGAATTGGGAATCGAATTTTGAGATCCGCTGTATCCATGTGACGTCCTGCTCATAAAGGTTTAGTACATCATGACTGATTAAATCTTCCAGTAGTATCAATAAACTGGAGAATGGTTGTATACACTCCTATCAGGTCCTGCTTAGCCAGTGCTCGGATAGATTCATGTTTCAAAACTATGTGCTCCAACGTAATGTGATTATCATTAAAAACAATACGCAGCTGCTCAAACATAAAATTACGAGACTTATCGTAAATAGCACAGTCCATGAAAAAATGTTTAGTAGTCTCTCTATTAAAGCCACATGTACACGCCGGTGACTTTTCTAATCCACCTCTAGTAAAGAGATAGTCATTTAGTTGAAGGTTATCAATTCTACATCGCGTATGATGTATCTCCAACCGTCGATCACGCATTAACGGTAAACGAAAGGACGAAATATATTGCAAGACTAATCTGAGTTTAAAATCAGTCAGTTTATGTATTGAACGTATATCGTTAGGTTGAAGATTCCATGCACGAATACCATCCCGAATAAAGGATTTCTCTAATAGTGCCCAACTAGAGACCTGCAACCCGACCCGC